GCCAACATATAATTGTCTCTCGAGGTTCCTTTTAACATAAAAATATCACAAGCAATAGATTGTCTTTAGAAGTGTTTTAATAGCACAATCATATGAGAAAGTAAATTGTCTTTAAAATGTATTTTGATAAAAAGATAAAAATAAAGAGAAACCGAAAAGACGCAAAAAAAGGAATGCATCATGAACCCTCACCAAAATATGTAGGCGAACAATATGCTTCGGAAGAAAGCACAGTATGTGGCATTTACAGTGCATACAAGAAAGAAGCATACCAAAGCGTCAACGCACAATAAGGAGGCATGGCAGTATAGAGAGGTAGGACGCCGGGCTCGTGACCGAAGGGTTGCGGGTTCGAGTCACGGAACGGCAAGGTGTTGTATCCTTGAGCAAGATACTTTACTCCGGTTGTTCCAGTCTACTCAGCTGTAAATGAGTACGTGGTTGGGCAGTGCTAGAATTGTAGAATGCTAGCTGTGAGCGCCGAAATGGCAGCACCGGCTGTATGCTCCCCATGGGTTGAGAAAGATATTGGCTAGTTGCAAAGGCTCTATAACCACAATAATAATTTGTGAACCTCCATCTAAATGTCGCTTGTGTTTCACCATAAATACTTTTCATATTTCATTTACAGAAATATGACAGAAAGAGAAACAAAGATGGAGGAGAGGGAAGAGAAAAAGGGAAAGGAGAAGAGAAAAAGGTGTGATTCACTAAAACTTTGTTTAAGCCATCAGTGATAAAAAGAGTAACTGTTTTATCACCTTTTTCTGTATAACCACCTAAACAACAGTCGAAATTGCATTAACTTTAATTAGTTTTAACTTGAAATTTGTTTCTTGTCTATAGTACACTTTCTGTTTATGTCATCCTAGGTACGAAACATTTATTCAAAATCTTTTATAATCAGGAAATATCTACTTTTAGGATATTTCAAGGGAATGAATAGAAAATAAAGGCAGAAAAATCATTTTTTTAAATGTTGTATTATAAATAACGCCCATCTCATAGTTACTGTGAGCTGGATTCCTTTCGTCTATTTATCATTGTCATTTTATTTCGAAAAACCGGAGTGGAAGAGGATGGAAATATATAAAATGGCAAATCCAAAATATCTCAATGTAATTATTTTCGAATTCAGACGACGATTATAATTACTACCTTAAGTTTTGTAAAAGATTATTATATGTAAAGCCTACAACACAAAATAACTTTGTTTATGGTGAGCTATGTCGTTTTCCATTAAAAATAACAAGATATTGCAGAATAATAACTATTGGCTGAGAATAGTATGTGATTCAACAAACGATCTTGTTAGATCAGTATATAACATCTTGTATCAGGACGCTGAACAGTTTTCCAAACAAAATTGGGCTAGTGCGGTAAAAGAACTTCTTTTTACGAATGGCTTTGGATATGTTTGGTACATGCAGTCTGTAGGTAGTATAGAAGCCTTTATGCATTTATTTAAAATTAGAATTAAAGACATTTTTGTTCAAAATTGGCAGAGGGAATTATCTGGCTCTACTAGAGCAAGATTTTATGTTAATCTTTCTAATAATTTCGAATATCAACTATGTCTCGACCTTGTCAACATAAAAAGGTTTGTATAGCTTTAACAAAATTTAGAGTCTCTTCTCATCGTTTGAGTGTTGAGGTAGGCCGTTGGCACAGACCGAACCCTATTCCTTATGCGAATCGTACATGTAGTTGTTGTGGGGTTCTAGAGGACGAGTATCATTTCCTTATGGAGTGTACCTTACATTCTAACATAAGACATATGTATATCAAGAGAAGGTATTTTCATCACCCAAATAGACCAAAGTTTCTGGAATTAATATCCTCTATGAACAAGAGTACATTGAAACATATTACTGCTTTCATTTTTAAAGCGAATGAGATACGGAACAATAACTTATTTAATCAGGATGTCGTGAAAGCTACATTTAAGTATGGAAAGTCACTGTTTTTACTTTATTTTATATATTTATATAATTTAATGCATTGTACCACTACATATATCATTGTATATGCAATGTATTTATGTCACAAAGACATTTGTGTCTATTGCTGAATAAAGATTATTAATAAGATTATTCTTATACGATATCGATTATGATCCCAAAGAAGATGCGGAGGACGAGGACATGGAGAGTGAGTATTGTTCCTTATGGATCTCATGACATAAAGTTTGTGCTCAGAATTCAAAACCGATACAACAATTTTAAAGTGTGAGCAAAGATATTACTTACATTAAACACTTCCAAATGTACAGGGAAAGGAAGGGTTCCGGCTAGATAAAAATACAATATGGATATATATGTGTGATATTTATTTCTATAGTAACGATTTAAATGATTTCGTTTATTTCAATCACGAGCATTTCCTCTACATCATGTTTAGATGGTATTGTTCAAGTTTGTTGTTAGAACTCAAAATCGATACAAAGAACCTGCTTACATAAAAACATTTTATATGTTCTATGTAATGTTATACATGTCAACATATCAGATGGATAAGTATAAACCTCCAAACAAGTCACTAACTAACGTGTTACTACTTGTTCCAATGAGTTGTAGGGCCAGTCAAAACGAAGAAGCCGTTACTCAAAAGTTACTTACTTAGATATATATCCACGTCAATGATATAATGATAACATATAAATCATCGACATTCAGTAAGAGTGGCAATATTTCGACGTTTCTCAATCAAATAGAAACATCTTGGTGACTATATAGGTAGTGAACATGTTTCATTATTTACAGTTTGTTCCCTGTCTTCATTTTGATATGAATCATACGTGTACGCACAAATAGATAAATACGCATTCACATTTAATTACGACTGAATTAAGATTGAATTCACCTAGGACAAGCCATACCCTTACTCAACATTTCGATACAAAAGGAGTATCATGATGATTTCATTTCAGATGGAAGCAGGAAGAAAGCTGAAAAAGGTATAGTGAAAAATATACTTATCTTCATATCGGCCTTACACATACATCTTACGAAATACCATCCTGTGTAGTAACTTACAACTACACAACAACTGTACCACGTCCATCTTCGTTGGATAAAAGGTCGTATTTCAAGCGATAAAAAGTGTCCCTTTAATTCGGACCGGAAAATCGAAGCGTTTAACAAGGAGAGTCAAAAATGTGTACCATTTTTCGTGTTCAAAGGACTCTCAATCTTAAAGGACCATTCCCGAAAATACTCAGACATCGTCGCATAATAATTTTGATACTAGTAATATGTAGATGACCAACAAACACGTGTCTTGCTGGAATGGAATCAATGGAGAAACTGTAATAAACAACAGCGTTGATTTTTATGGGAATAATTTGCAAAAGACAAATATAATTTTCATTTTTTTCATTAAAAAAGTCTATAGAATCATGCATTTCACACGTAATTATATTATCTAGTTTTATTGCTGATTATTATTGAGGCTTATTATGATAACATTGACTATAATATCTGCAAAGTTCAAACATTCAATGTTTTGTTTATGTACCTAATGAAGCTGAATGTCCAGAATGCGGCCTTATGAAGGCCTGTGTCGCTGACCATCTCCGGAGGGTGCAAGGTTGGGGCACAGAGGACCCTATAAAATGGCGCTACAAGTCGTTAGTCACAGCTTTCAGACAATAGGGACTACAAACCGTCACAAGATGCTGTAAACGGCAAAGGAAACTGCCATTGTAAAAAACAATTAAGTCAAACCGGAAAAATAAAAAAAAAAAAACCCTGTCATGTGTCTCTAAATGATGATAATGATGATTATTACAAATTGCAATGCACAAAACCATTTTTTTTTAAATTGACATTGTGTCTACCATTGAGAATTCTAAGAGAATTCTAAAACATAACTATATTTATTAAGGCCAGACAACGACAACGTCAGGGCAACCAAGATCAAGAAAAGAATGTGCCCACTTCCGGAATGTGGACTATAGTAAAACAACCCGTGGTCCACTTCCAGAAGTACCACAAACTTAAAAAGAATTCGCCAGGGCTGAACAAAGCATTGCTGATGCTTCAGAATTCAAGCAAATCAGGTCACTGTTCATTAGTTATAATGTATAGCATTTATTTGTATTTTTACATTTAGAAATTTAGGAAACAAATAATCACTAATCGCCGGAATTGCTACATATGGGAGAATTACAGGATTATTACTCGGGAGAATTATTTCATAGTAAACGTAAATAAATGCAATGGGAAGAAAATGATTAATTGTAAGATTCTTTTTTGGTTTCGCAAACACAACCAAGTACAGCGGTTATTTTGGCTTTGAAATTGTGATCAAGAAATAAAAACTTGTGTAGTTTATATGGCATTACTACCCCAACAAGGGACGTCTAATCAGTTGTATTTTTGTATTTCACGTCGAGAGATTTTTACTATAAATGCATCATAGAAATGTATGATTTTCTTTTGCAGCACAAGGGACAGATTCTGTCGAGTTTGAGAAGTTCCTCCTGACGCCCAAGTGAAGTTCATGATTCGCATACAACGAATTACATCGTAACATAGTCATTTAGTTTAATAATGTAAATAACTCAATATATCAACAATAACATACTTCGATGAGAGTGTTAACATTTCAACTAAAGCGACATCAATACATGTACATATCAAAACCATATTTCCTATGTAGCATCGTTGGTTCCATTGTTATATGAATTAAGAACTGTGTAAAAAAAAAGTCTGTTACTCCCCTTTTGGCTGGATATAAAACAGAGAAGTTAAAAGAAGTATTTGAAAATCTTTTCTTCCCGAACAGTTGATCATGTTTCAACAATATTGAAAAAAGGCGTACAGAACCAGGAATCAACTCTTGTCGAAAAGAAGGTGTTCTTCACTGGATCCTGAAAACACTGCCGAAACTGTGAAATAATTCGAAATACAGAGGTCACACTTATGAAAAATGTGTTGCCACTATTGTTCAAATTTCAAAGTGGCCGAAACAGGCCCTCTTGACCTCTTTGTAAAGTTATCTCCCTTTAAAGAAATCTTTTCATCAAACAAATATTGCAATGGCCGCTGTACGCGAAATCGTCGATGTGAAATCCTTCGAAGAAGTTTTAAACAGTTCTGGGAGGTTTGTTATTTGTAAACTCCTCTTTGCAATGATATATTTAATTTATTTTTACGAACCTGTATGATCAAAGCATGCGTATACACTGTCATATACAGTCTGGAGTACATCCGATCGTAACAGTGGGCCATTTTTCAAAGGTTTACATTCCGCTGTATCATTGTTTGTATGTGGTCGGGCTACTATATGTATCTTACTGTTGCTCAGTAACTTCTAGAGTAATGGTCAATAAATGAATAACTTCTTATACCTAATGATGACTTACTCCAACATAATGATTGTAAATCATGTCATTAGCAGTATGGGTATTGTACAGGTTGGCAGTCCACGGGATTGAGTAATGCACTAATGGGACAAACATATTTTGTTTTACCAACTCGCCATCTTCGTTCGTCCTACATACATATTGTCATAGTTGGCTTTAATAGATTTAAAAAGAAATGTAACCATTTTGTTCTATTCCATATTTCTGTCATGTGTATAGGCTTAGAGTTTTAGAGTATCCTGTTGAAGTTGAAGTGTAAAATGGGTTTCCAGTGTTGCGTCACAATTGGGTCGATAAATGTGTGGCAGATTTTAATTGTACCTATAGGATTACGGTCGGCTTCTAGCTTCGATTAAGAGGGAATTTTCTCTTTAACTCAGTGGTAGAGCATCCGTCTAAGAACTTAGGGATGGCAGGTTCGATCCCCGGTCGAAGCACATGTACACTGCTGTCTTCCTGTATATGAATGGTGACAGGGAGTTACAACCTGGGTTGTGGTGTTCGAGGGCAAACAAATTTAAAAAGTGGGGAGTAGTGTGGCAGATTTTAATTGTACATAGGATTGCTCTCGGCTTCAAGTTAGAGGGAATTTCCCTTTAGCTCAGTGGTAGAGCATCTGATTACAAACCTATAGGGATAGCGGGTTTGATCCCCGGTGGTAGCACATGTACACCGCCCTTTTTCTGTTACAAATGTGACATCACAAAGTTCCAATCTTCACATCTTCGACAAGTTGGTCACAACACCATATATTGATAATAAATGTTAATCCCGCATTTGGGTAACAGTAACCATTTACAGTAAGCATTTTTATTCATGAAATGGGAAAAAAAGGGTGTCATCCCTTCAAAATAATCCAATAAATAACACAGAGAAGTACATTTTACACAAAAAGCTATTAATTCTTTTGTGCTTTTGTTAAAATGACAAACCATATCACTTACTTTGTTCTCCATTGACTGTTAAATGGGAGCTTTCAGTGCAAATGTGACAGGTGAGCATGATTTCTTTTTGTGTGTTATTTATAGCTACTCTACAACACACTATAAGCAACGAAGGTGATAAAGTTTGTCATTTTCTATCACAAAACTTTAGACAACTAAATGAACATATACACATGTTGTTGTGCACAATTGTACCTCATTGTATTACAGGGAAAGAATGATGCAGTTTTTTGTTCATAATTTTTAAAAGAACCTTTTTTGTTTCCATTTCACTTTTTTCCCTATTTCAGTAATAAAAAATGGTTCTGTAAACAGTAACTGTTTCCCAAGTGCAGAATTATTATTACCCAATTGCAGAGTTGTGCACAACTTGGTGGAAGCTTTTCTTAAATGAAAACGTCTGTAAAGTATTTTATTTTTAAAATCTCTTATCAATAGAAAGCTACCAATGAAACGATTGAGCAGTGCTGTTGTTTGTGTAAATTAAGATTTCTTTAGTTTGTTAAATTAGTTGTGACCTTTCCTCTGACTGTTTGATGTTTTAACATTGTGTACGTTACAGTCAACTGGTGGTAGCACATTTCTCAGCAGCATGGGCTCCTCAATGTCGACAGATGAACGAGGTCCTGGAGGAGCTGAGTAAGGACTCACAGCTGGCAAAATCCCAGTTCCTTAAGGTAACATGGGGATATTATTGTAGCTCCTTTTTGTGGACATTTTTTGATTTCTAAGTTTTGGTTTATTTAATCCTTATAATTATTATGAATAAATATGTTGGACAGGCTTCAACTTTGAAACTGCCACATATAATCATGTTACACATCCAGACTTGCTCAATTATTTACCACTGACCATGTTGATGTTCTGGTTAAAGAGGTCTCGAATTTGAATCCTGTTGTTTTTTTGTGGCATTTTCCCAGTATAATCTGGTTGTACGTTTATGGCATGTACCTCTTCCCATTGATAAGTTGATTTATCCTCGGATATGTATAATACATTTACAGTAAAACCTAATTGTACCACCAACATTTGTACAGAGAAACTTTTGCATTATTGATTTGGCCATACATTGAGACGTTCAATCGTTATATTTACGTTTCCTCATACGACCTGTCTTTTATTGATTAGTCTGATGAGCGTAATATATATTTCCTGCTGCCACAAAACCACACTGGTCCAATTCTTGAACAGCCGCAGATGGCCAGTATCCGACTGAAAACTTTTCAAGCACCGGTCGCCATTAAAAAATGTAACCAGGAGACAACTGTTAAATGCTCTAATTATATGTGCAGAACATTCTCATACAAAAGTAAAAACTAACCTTCCTATTCTGGATGTCTTCATTGTCTGCAAAACCCATCAGAATGAGACTTGTATAAACCAAACAGCAACAAAAAGATGGCGGCTGTTGTACAAATTGATGGCGTCGCTGACTGTAACGGTAGGAGTGGTTGCTGGTCATGTGACCAGATAATGCAGACTGCAGTTACTGTCCAGTAACAGCAAGCTGACTTTCCATGGAGTTAACGGAAAATGGAAAGGGCATACGTAAATAATATAGACATATAAAGGATTTGTAAAGAAAAAATGAAAAAAATGGCTAAGTGGTCACAAGGTGACAAATTGATTTAAGTTCGGCAGATTTTATCATTGTTTAACTGTACCAAAGTATGAACTGTATCAAATTATTTTCAGCTTGAAGCAGAAGACCTTCCAGAGCTGTCTGAAAAATATGAAATAGCAGCTGTACCGACCTTTATATTCTTCAAGGTTAGCAATAACACCTGATTGGTAAAGTGGTAAACATAATCAGATTGGTAATACACACACCATAGCTATTGCTACTTATTAGATTAAATTTGTTAAATGTCGGTCATGTACGAGACTGAATTCCAGACATATTGAGATATTTAAGTATAAATATATATGATCTCCCAACTCTCAGTATTTCTATATGAGTTTATGGCAATCAATGTATTTTGAATTATAAACAATGTGTGTACATAAATATCTTTTTTTTTCTTTAATTACAGAAAGTAATAACAATTATGTTAAAACCCAGTAAACAACCAATACTTTATATTTGCCAATTAAGAATTTTAAATGATTGGAAATATTTGAGATAGAATATCCAGGGATTTTTTTTTTATTCCATCTGAATTATTCAATTTGTCATTTTTAAATACTACTGAAATGTATTTTGGTTTCAGAATAAGTCCAAGTTGGACCGGATTGATGGAGCCAATGCTGCAGAGTTAACTAAGAAAGTGAAAACTTTATCATCCTTAGCAACTGTTCCCTTACCAGACCAACAACCCACCCAAAAACAGGTAACTGTTTATCTATAATGTACTGTACTACAATACACACAAAATATTTTAGATGATGGAAGTCAAGTAAAAGTCATTTGTTTTTGGCTGGTTATGTATACTTATTTAATTTGTAGGATATAAATGAGAGGCTGAAGGTGCTGGTCAGCTGTGCTCCTGTGATGGTCTTCATGAAGGGTGTACCAGAGGAACCAAAGTGTGGTAGGTCTACGCTAAATTGTAGTGGTCTTTTATGACAACCAAGTGTACATACAGAATGATAAACATTTCACTAGCTGTGCACTATGAACCTGTATTCATTTTAACAACATCATTTGATTATCAAGGTAGTTGAAGATAGTTTAATATTTCAGGACTCGGTTGACAACTAGTACAAATTCTAAATGACCAGAGTATTTATTTTAGGATTTAGTCAATGTCTAGTACCAATTTTTAACAACAGGAGTATTTTATTATAGGATTTAGTCAACTTCTGGTACAGATTCTAAATGACCAGAGTTTATTATATTTAGGATTTAATCAACTTCTGGCACCAATTCTTAATGACTAGAGTTTATTATTTCAGGATTCAGTCGGCAGGTGGTACAAATTCTAAATGATCGAAACGTCAAGTTCAGTTCCTTTAATATCCTGGAAGATGAGGATGTAAGACAAGGTAAGTGATCTCGGACTCAAATTTATAATTCACACACATAATGGTCACTGGTCTTTTATTCAGACATATGAGGACATAATGTTTTTGTCACAGTAGCATACATTCAAAGTTATAGTAGTTTCATAGAATATGGTATTTATATTTTATCACATAATGTATTCTGTTATCTAGTGAATATACCCATGTAATATGATCTTATCAGACCAGGGGCCGCAGTGGCCAAGTGGCTAAGGCATCTGACATTCTGCTACCATTAGCCCTCCACCACTGGGTCGCGGGTTCGAGACCTACGTGGAGCACAAAATTTTGATTATATGATAAAAAGGATCTTACACTCGTTTTCATTTCATATGAAATATATGTAACGCGTCACAAATATTTATTTTTGCCTCTGGCTCGCTAAATTGAAAATTTCTTAGACTCACTTTATAAATCTCATACTCATGTAAGATCCTATATACATGTATATGCTGTAAATACTTGACCGTCATTTCCTTGAGATATGAAATGTAAGGAGCTATACAAATGTTGTATAACATTAATTACACTAAAGTTGAACTGGTCCTCTCTATTTGTAGGTTTAAAGAAATATTCTAACTGGCCAACGTACCCTCAGCTCTACGTCAATGGCGATCTCCTCGGGGGACTTGACATTATCAAGGAACTCATCGAGTCAGGAGAGTTTGAGTCTCAACTCCCTGAACAAGTTAAACTTGAAGACAGGTAGAGTTGTCTCCCTTGAAATACTGTCTTGTGAACTTTTTTGTCTGATGTACATTTAGCTTATTTGTCTGTCAGTACATCAATCAGTTTCATGCAAGTTGCCCATTTATAATGTCATCTGATGTTAAAGTGTTTGAAATAGTTGTTGTGATAGTCATGGCATTAGTGATGAAGAAAACTGTTCATTAATTAAGTGATAAATTATACTAACTACTTTACCTTTCCTGCTATCGTGTATTTTATTACACCTCTACTTTATTTACTCTATATAAAAGTAATTGGTTAAATCGAATATATCCCCACTTTCACCTGAGTGTGTTTTAGTCCTGTGTGTTAGTCTGGGAACTAAAACACACCTACACTCAGGTGTTTCTGCCAAGCCAATCAGGCAAGAGGTGGGCAAAGCTTGTTACCAAACTCGGCAGTGACAGGCAAGGTGGGCGGAGCTTGCTACCGAACTCAGAAGCATTTGGCTCCATTGCCATCAAAAGGGTAGTTGGGACGTGAAGTTATACAGCTTATGGTTTACAAATATTTTCTAGTTAAAACTATCTCTCCAGTGTGTATCGGTATAATAAAATTTGTTAAAGTATGGGGTTGAGGGATATAGCAAGTTTCTGGTGTCCCGAGACCAGGTCTATTTCCCGAGGCGAAGCCGAGGGAAATAGGCATGGTCAAGACACCAGAAACTTGCTATATGCCTCAATCCCATACTTTAACTGTATACTAACATCCTCGATATCCAGGGATTAATCTCACTTTCGCTCTCTGCACCGCTGGAATATTTCATAGCAAAATTGAAGGCACGACGATAACTGTTTGATTGGTCTTAGGTTACAAAAACCTGATCAATTGCTAGGCGGATACCTGTCCTTTGAAGATTACAAAGGAGAGATGCCTGACTTCAAAGCCTGTCAATTTTACCGTTGCGTGACCGCAAGATTCTTTAGATGTACATCAAAGGATCAAACTAGTCTTCTCGTCTCGTCCACAAGGGGCTGCACATTGAGCCTTTAATTTTGCTATGACATATTCCAGGGGTGTAGAGAGCGAAAGTGAGCGTAACCCCTGGATGTCGAGGATGTGAGTGTAACCCCTGGATGTCGAGGGTGTGAGCATAACCCCTGGATGTCGAGGATGTGAGTGTAACCCCTGGATGTCGAGGATGTGAGTGTAACCCCTGGATGTCGAGGATGTGAGCATAACCCCTGGATGTCGAGGATGGTATACTAACTACACCTGTACTTTACCTTTCCTGCTATCATATGTCATTATTGTGATGTAATATGTCATTTAATTGTTTTCATCAAAATTATGACCACACCCATGAGATACTGCATGAACAACAAATTTGTGCATTTTATATGTCAGATTGAAATCCCTGATCAACAAAGCCCCAGTGATGCTATTTATGAAAGGCAATCCACAGGTTCCACGATGTGGATTCAGTAGGCAGGTTACAGCCTTGCTGGGGGAGACAGGGTAGGTAACAACAGTTATTGTCAGGTACATTGATAAAGCAGATCAAAAAATTACTAGGTGAAACAGAACATGTAATGGTAGTCATTATCAAATACATTATATTCAGATTATTAGTTTCCTATCAGATGTAGTAGAAATACATTACATGTAAATATTACTATAAACTTGTTTGAGAACTTATGCTTCTTCAAACTTGATGAGAAGGTATATACATATGAAAAAAGTTCTTTCCGTCAATATCTGGTCAAATTAAAGAAAAAATAAACAAACAACAAAGTTGACCATGTTCACTCTTCAGATGCTAAACAACATAGTTGTAATCGTTAGCAATATCGTTACTATGTTGTAATCGTTAGCAATATCGTTACTATGTTGTTATCGTTAGCAGTATCATTACTATGTTGTTATCGTTAGTAGTGTCGTTACTATGTTGTTATCGTTAGTAGTATCGTTACTATGTTGTTATCGTTAGTAGTATCGTTACTATGTTGTTATTGTTAGTAGTGTTGTTACTATGTTGTTATCGTTAGTAGGGTTGTTACTATGTTGTTATTGTTAGTAGTGTTGTTACTATGTTGTTATCGTTAGTAGTGTTGTTACTATGTTGTTATCATTAGTAGTGTTGTTACTATGTTGTTATCGTTAGTAGTGTTGTTACTATGTTGTTATCGTTAGTAGTGTTGTTACTATGTTGTTATCGTTAGTAGTGTTGTTACTATGTTGTTATCGTTAGTAGTGTTGTTACTATGTTGTTATCGTTAGTAGTGTTGTTACTATGTTGTTATCGTTAGTAGTGTTGTTACTATGTTGTTATCGTTAGTAGTGTTGTTACTATGTTGTTATCGTTAGTAGTGTTGTTACTATGTTGTTATCGTTAGTAGTGTTGTTACTATGTTGTTATCGTTAGTAGTGTTGTTACTATGTTGTTATCGTTAGTAGTGTTGTTACTATGTTGTTATCGTTAGTAGTGTTGTTACTATGTTGTTATCGTTAGTAGTGTTGTTACTATGTTGTTATCGTTAGTAGTGTTGTTACTATGTTGTTATCGTTAGTAGTGTTGTTACTATGTTGTTATCGTTAGTAGTGTTGTTACTATGTTGTTATCATTAGTAGTGTTGTTACTATGTTGTTATCATTAGTAGTGTTGTTACTATGTTGTTATCGTTAGTAGTGTTGTTACTATGTTGTTATCGTTAGTAGTGTTGTTACTATGTTGTTATCATTAGTAGTGTTGTTACTATGTTGTTATCATTAGTAGTGTTGTTACTATGTTGTTATCGTTAGTAGTGTTGTTACTATGTTGTTATCGTTAGTAGTGTTGTTACTATGTTGTTATCATTAGTAGTGTTGTTACTATGTTGTTATCATTAGTAGTGTTGTTACTATGTTGTTATCGTTAGTAGTGTTGTTACTATGTTGTTATCGTTAGTAGTGTTGTTACTATGTTGTTATCATTAGTAGTGTTGTTACTATGTTGTTATCGTTAGTAGTGTTGTTACTATGTTGTTATCGTTAGTAGTGTTGTTACTATGTTGTTATCATTAGTAGTGTTGTTACTATGTTGTTATCATTAGTAGTGTTGTTACTATGTTGTTATCGTTAGTAGTGTTGTTACTATGTTGTTATCGTTAGTAGTGTTGTTACTATGTTGTTATCATTAGTAGTGTTGTTACTATGTTGTTATCATTAGTAGTGTTGTTACTATGTTGTTATCGTTAGTAGTGTTGTTACTATGTTGTTATCGTTAGTAGTGTTGTTACTATGTTGTTATCATTAGTAGTGTTGTTACTATGTTGTTATCATTAGTAGTGTTGTTACTATGTTGTTATCGTTAGTAGTGTTGTTACTATGTTGTTATCGTTAGTAGTGTTGTTACTATGTTGTTATCATTAGTAGTGTTGTTACTATGTTGTTATCATTAGTAGTGTTGTTACTATGTTGTTATCGTTAGTAGTGTTGTTACTATGTTGTTATCGTTAGTAGTGTTGTTACTATGTTGTTATCATTAGTAGTGTTGTTACTATGTTGTTATCATTAGTAGTGTTGTTACTATGTTGTTATCGTTAGTAGTGTTGTTACTATGTTGTTATCGTTAGTAGTGTTGTTACTATGTTGTTATCATTAGTAGTGTTGTTACTATGTTGTTATCATTAGTAGTGTTGTTACTATTGTGTTATCGTTAGTAGTGTTGTTACTATGTTGTTATCGTTAGTAGGGTTGTTACTATGTTGTTATCATTAGTAGTGTTGTTACTATTGTGTTATCGTTAGTAGTGTTGTTACTATGTTGTTATCGTTAGTAGGGTTGTTACTATGTTGTTATCATTAGTAGTGTCGTTACTATGTTGTTATTGTTAGTAGTTTCTTACTATGTTGTTATCATTAGTAGTGTTGTTACTATTGTGTTATCGTTAGTAGTGTTGTTACTATGTTGTTATCGTTAGTAGGGTTGTTACTATGTTGTTATCATTAGTAGTGTTGTTACTATGTTGTTATTGTTAGTAGTTTCTTACTATGTTGTTATCATTAGTAGAGTTGTTACTATTGTGTAATCGTTAGTAGTGGTGTTACTATGTTGTTATCGTTAGTAGGGTTGTTACTATGTTGTTATCATTAGTAGTGTTGTTACTATGTTGTTATTGTTAGTAGTTTCTTACTATGTTGTTATCATTAGTAGTGT